AATAAATATACTTTTTTTTTTTCACATGATCCACTTCATGTCAAAAGCACAATGCTGAAAGAATTTTTATTTTCCCCTACAGGTAAGAAAAAAAATTTTAAGTAAATTGTCAGAAGAAACCAAAGTAGCTCTCACAAAACTCCATAACTCTCTGAATGAAAAAGTAAGTAAAGTTTGATTGTGTTTAGATATCAGGGCTATAAGTTTGTGTTATAAAGATCTTTGAGTAGATTTTTATTAGAATAATCATAAACCCAATCTTAAACTAGTGTTTTGGAGGTGAAAGGAGGAACCATGCTGGGGGCATTTTACCCTTTTTAGTCCTAAAGCACAATTTCTAATTTAGTAACAAAGAGACCCTTTTAAAAATTTTATTTTGTATGTAAATTACAAAACCGTGTTAAATGGCTATATTTCTCCTATCCAAGTTCTCACCAGCCCCGACTCTGATTGTCTTCCGAGATCAGATGAGATTGGGCACCTTCACAGTGGTATGGCTGTAGACAAGTGGCTATATTTCTTTAGACACTTGTATATAAAAGTAAATTATGGTATTAAATACCTTTTCAGAGCATAGAAGATTTCTCCTATCCAAGTTCTCACCAGCCCCGACTCTGATTGTCTTCCGAGATCAGATGAGATTGGGCACCTTCACAGTGGTATGGCCGTAGACAAGTGGCTATATTTCTTTAGACACTTGTATATAAAAGTAAATTATGGTATTAAATACCTTTTCAGAGCATAGAAGATTTTCTTTCTTGTCTGGATTCTGCAGCAGAAGCTTGTGATATTATGGTGAAAAGAGGAGACAAAAAAAGAGAAAGGTAACATTAAATTAATCTATATTATTAATATTCTTAAATGTGGGACTTTCCATGTCTGAAATTTGAATTTGACTCCATGACTCTTACATAGAGAACTGTATCTAAATGGCTGTAGATCTCAAGCATCTTCAAAGTCTATATTGTTAGGTATTCCTCTCTGATCCTCTTGATAAGGTAGCAGAGTTCCTTATCCCATAGTTAATCAAGCCCAGGAATGTTCTGTTCGCTTTGAGACCTTCCTTACAGGAAACCTCATCTAAATCAGGGTACTTTTGTTTGATCTCCAGCAACCCAAAACAAAAAGCATACTTTGAGTATCCCTACTATTTAGCTTTTCCTTTAATTTTCTAGCATAGTAGTCTATCCATGCCATTTAGGGCTGTATGTGTTTATATCCCATATTTAAAAGTTACCTTGCTCATGGAATTAGATAATTTAAACTAGGGAAGCTAAAAATGAATACAGAGGGATGGATTGAAATTGGTGAGAACTTGTTAAATTATGATAACACACTTGTGTGATTTTATTTTTGTTTAGGCAGATACTGTTTCAACATCGACAAGCACTAGCTGAACAGCTAAAAGTCACAGAAGACCCTGCTCTTATTCTGCACCTCACATCAGTGCTGTTGTTTCAGTTCACAACCCACAGCATGCTCCATGCGCCTGGAAGATGTGTCCCGCAGATCATTGCTTTTCTTAATACTAAAATACCAGAGGTATTACATTTTGAATGCACTTGAAACTTTTTAAAATTTTAGATTCTGAATATTTTGAGTGGCTAGATATGAATCATTGTCAATACTCAGGCACAAAACATTTTAACATCATTTGTCTACTCCCAAGAATGTGAACAGTGAATCAGGGGATTGATTTTAAAAATTCAGCATAGCTCAAGAATCTTTCAGGATCCTGTAAGATCCATGGCAAAGAATATTCTGAATTTGGAAATTAAGCTTTCAGAAAAGATATAAGAATGTCAAATCTGCCATTTCAACTTCTCTAGGTTTAACTTATCCTTCAAGGACCAGCTCAAAAGTCTTGTCCTACATA